TGAAGAAGAAATTATAATGAGGTTTTATGATCGATTTTCTATGTGGATCATTTTAAACAGGAGCTCAAAAAATGTATGAATTGTTTCAGCCAATGTAAAGTTCTTTGGGTTTCTCTCCATTAATTAAAGATTTTATGTTAAGCATAGGTTAGGACTTCTAATCTCACCCATTGAATCGCATGTATGATACATATGAACAAAAATATGTATTTCACTAACATATATATATCTAAAGGATGGCTGAGATTAAAATTCTTCAACTAGTCCTTAACACAAATCCTTATTGGAGAAGCTCTCGATTCATAGACGAGCAGACACACATATACACACATAAGGCATACATGTCTACATATGTGCGTGCATCAGGCATGCATGCCTGCAGATGTTTGTGTGTGGGTGTGGGTGCATTTGTGCGAGAGATATATACCTGTTGTTTCGAAGCTAGCCATCAGCAGCCCAAGTAGAAATACTATCGAAATACCAACTGATGAATTGGATTTAGCCATGATAATAAGGAAAAGATAGATATTCTAAGAAGTATTGCAAGTGTGCCTCTCCATGTTGCCTCTTGCTCTTTAATTTATAGACATCAGAGAGTGGCCTGCAACGACTAAGAATAGTCAATCCCTTGGTCAAGTGTTTGCTAATTAATCATTTCCATCTTTCTCTACTGCATTTTTGTGCTTAATAATTTGCATTATATTTCATGAGGGTTGCCTTGTTTAATCATGGCTAAACCCAATAGTCTTTCAATGGCCTCAAATCCAATTTTCCTTTTATACAGGTAATAATGGGACGGAGAATTAAACGAATTAATCTAAAACCTTGAGTACATAATAAATACTCTTAATGATTTGAGCTACAAATGAAGTAGGGCAAAGTAGGGCAAATATTCAAGAGTGCTGCTAAATGAACCCTAAAATTAACTGAGTACACCCTACGACCAAAGTATTTATTGAATTACTAATTTACCATAAAATAAAATGACCAAAAAAGATATATTGAATTGTGAAACAAATATAATTTTAATAAGTACACCCTACTCACCATATTCAACCCTAATGAAAGGCCGAAGCAAGAAAAATGCTTCCCTAATTCCAACCATTATGAGACTTGTTAGTGTTCAACAAAATTTAGGGTACTGAGGAAGCGAAAGAACCATGTTGGGAAACCTGTGGAGAATGAAATAGGCTTGTGACCCCAGAAAAAGCAAGAGCAGACCCAAGGAAGTTTGGGTGAATGGGGGGTTGTCGATAGGGCTTTCTTCTAGGAGGGATGATTGTGAGCTTCCTGACGATTGTAACTATACTAGTACATCCTTTTTTTTGGGTCAAAACATCAGGTTAATTTATTAAAGATGAATAAGATCGTTTACATCACTAGCCAAATATTAAGGACCCATGCTGGACCTGCTTGATCCCCAGACATGATTACCACCCATCCTAGAAACATAGGCTGCCACCTCATGTGCAACTCTATTGCAGTGTCGTGGTGTGAAAGAAAACACCACTTGGCTAATTAAACTGTTGAACTAAAACATGAATACCAAATAGGGTGTTGTTTGATAGAGTTTATTAGGGTCTACTAAGGGTATTTTGGTAGTAAAGTAGGGTGTACTTAGTTAATTTTATATTTTGATTAAAATATTAGGGTGTATTTAGATCATAGGGTATACTCAGTTAATTTTAGGGTTTGTTTAGCAGCACTCATATTCAATTATGCTCATATATGCTCATATTTTTATTCTTCTCCAATATGGAGGTATTTATAAAGAAATACAACCCTAAATAAAATAGGAAAAAAATCCAAATTACAATAGAAAATAAGTATAAATTACAATAAGAAATAAATCTCAATTATAATAGGACTAGATAGATGGGTAAGTAACCAAAATCCTAACATAGTAAAGAACCAAAATCCTAACCAAGTAAGGACTCGCCAACACTCTCCCTCAAGTTGGGGCAAAGATATTTCGCATGCCTAACTTGACAAGCGAGTCATCGAACACCATACTCGACATTGACCAATCGAACAACTGTAGAGAAGGCCTTGTCATAAACCATGAGTAAAACAACTGACAAACCCTAACAAATAGGGCACATAGAAGAACACATAAAAACATAACACAGAAACCCTGTGAGCACGACAGTAGATAAGGCAAAACAAAGAAACTCTGTGAACACAGCAAAGGTAAGGCAAAGAACACAGAAACCTTGTGAACACGGCAAATAACACAAAAACTCTGTGAACACGACAGTAGGTAAGGCAAAACCAAACCCTAAAAATAGGGCAAGGCCAAGTAAAGGGAAGGTAAAGACAAAGCAAAGGCAAAGTAAAGGCAAGGCAAGGCAAAGGGCACAACCAAAGCAACGGAAAGCGAAGCAAGCAAAGGCAACATCAACGGCAGCAACAACAACAACGACAACAACAATGTGACAGCATTTCTTCCATATCAACTTTAGCTAATTCACGCAGACACAACGTCTCTTCAATCCACCTCTCCCCCTGAAGAGAAGGGGTCGTCGAAGTCCAAAAAATAGGCAATATTTTCATGGGAGTACGTCAAGGTAATGGGGATACGTTAATAAACATATCTTTTTCACTCCCCCTCTCCCCTTGAAGAGAAGGGGAGGAGAGCACTTAAATTGCAAGGAGAATGCGAGCACAGGTCAAGAGAAAACTTGGCTCTGATACCAAGTCAAACAAAATAAGGCAAATATTCAATTATGCTCATATATGCTCATATTTTTATTCTTCTCCAATATGGAGGTATTTATAAAGAAATATAACCCTTAGTAAAATAGGAAATAAATTCGAATTGCAATAGAAAATAAATATAAATTACAATAGGAAATAAATCTCAATTATAATAGAACTAGATAAATGAGTAAGTAACCAAAATTCTAACATAGTAAGAAATCAAAATCCTAACGAAGTAAGAACTTGCCAACAACCCTTTAGGTCTCAAATCCACTTTCATACACTTCAAATATAATTGTCTGGCCTCATCTTATAGTTAATTAACTTGTGGTGGATATATAAGACAATTGAAGCCCAGACCAGTCTATAGAAGCTGCGATCCGTATTGCTTACGCTTGACTTCCAAATTTCGTGATGTTAATAAAGACAATATAAATCTAATGGCATGCGATGAGATGGTGTTTGTGCTCATCCTTGACAACTGTATATTGCCGACTTCCTCCGGAGACATGATGACAAACATTGTATTAACATCGTTTTGTGATGGGGAAGACTATTATACTAGACTGTACTGGTTTTAGTTTAATCTTCTCTGTGTTTGTGGCATCTTGTTCCTTTAGCTGGCCTTTTTGGCTTTGTATTCTTTGTTTGTTTCCTTCCCATTTATGGGTTTTGAATGAACATGATTGATTTCGACCAAAAAAAAATCGTTTCACTCAATTATACAAAAACATATCATTCCCCATGTGGAAAAATGGCACTCAACCGTATCGGTTACTACCCTGGCCTCAAAGGTAAAACCAATACCTAAATTCAATTGCTACCCTGGCAGAACTTGAAATTTTGGAATATTTTAGGGTTATGATCGGGTCATATTCCCAAATAAAAGCTTTTCTCCTTTTTTTTAGGGTTAACTTTTCTCCTTTTTTTATTTTTGATGCTGCATTTCATTTGGTTTGGTTCTTCATGTTTTTTTTCTTTTTTGATGCTGCATCCAATTTGCTTGAGATATTAATATTTGTTATTTTTTTGCCCTTGCTAAATTAAAAAGAAGAAAATTTTAATAAATTACAATTGATATTTAGTAAGACTTTATGGCATGTTCACTAATGCATACCATATGGATTGAGGGGAGTTAGATTCCAAATTCCTATTGAAGTTGTTTACTAAACCATATGGATTGAGAAGAATTATATTCCATATGGATTGAGGAGAATTAGATTCCGGATTCCTATTGAAGATGTCTAAACCATATGGATCGAGGAGAATTAGATTCCGGATTCCTATTGAAGTTGTTTACTAAACCATATGGAATTGGAGTAGGAGTTGTACTAATTACTAAAATGTCCTCGTTGTTGGATTAAAGTAGATGATAAATTTGGAATTTTGAAAATTGTGTGAGGATGTAATGGGTAAAAAAGATGAATTCCTAATGGGTTAGTTCTCCGGGAATTAGAATACCACATTCCACCCAAGAATTGAATTCCTCCAAAATCAGGAATTCAATTCCTAATTTTGTGTGGGCCTCACTTACTTTTCAATTCCTTAATGTGAAGTAAACACAGGAATTCTCCATAAGTGCAATTCAATTCCTGATGAGAATTTCAATTCTTAATTAGTAAACACACCATTAGAGGGTTCAATGGTAGTTAAAAAGACTTTAAAAAGGCATCAAATAGGTACTTTAGTAATGGAGTATTTCATTAAATCCTTAATTTTTTTATAAAAAAAAATCAAATCATTAAATTTCGATAAATTATTGACAATACAATTGATAAATTATCAAATCATTAATACTATTACTTTCTTTTCTTTTCTTATATCTTACCAAACAATTTGGCCTTCTCAAAATTTTAAAAAAATCACTTATTATTCTTTAAGTAATCAATGCCAAACGGCCCTAAGCCTCTTTTTAGTGTTTCTACTAAAAAGTTGTATGATAGAAGGCACTATAGATCCTGAGAGGATCCTCCTTGTAATTAACTTTTGTTTTCAAAACCAAAAAAAAAAAAAACTAAAAGATAATACACCAGAGAAGGCATTAAAGATGGACATCTGATGCTAGAATTCACTTTGATTTTATATCAGAAAATGGGTGTGGGCATGCGCAATGCCTTCTGTCAGCTTGTATAGCAATTAGCAACTGATGATTTGTATTCAAAATCAGAGATACCTGCAAAGTTTCATCGAGATGTATGCTTCTCATAAACAATGTAGAAAATAAAGTCCAACTCATATATAATCAAGTTTCTATATACACGTACAAATGGACTGCTGCAATTTAGTTGTCCGACACACCAGAGAGCGGCTCGATCATACTTGCATATGAATCATGATCACTGCAAGGTGATGGATGATGGAAGGAACTTCCAAAGTCAATGGATTGGGCCACATTTAGCCTCCAAATCTTTAATAGAAATGTTACCTCCTAAACAGGAAGGGACTCCATTGCAAATGTCATCACAAAGATCCTTCAAGCAGCATTGTGCCATCGGATGTAGCTAGGGCCCTCCAATTTCAATTTCACATTTGAATAATGCTCTTCACTCGGGATCTCCATAACACGACTATCTTTCGAACATCATTTTCCTTAAGATCATAACTGCTTTGTCAAAAAGCGCATCATTTTTGGCCAGATACTGTTCAGCTGCATGTTCAGTACTAAACACCTTTCGTCCTATGAGGTAACTGCTTCCTTCTTTGGCAATGAGACCATGCTCACAAGCCAACTGAAATACCTCAGATTCACGGCATAAGCCTCTCCCAAACTGTATCCCCAGATCAGCCTTCTTCATCGCAGGTGCTAATTTATTTTTCACCACTTGCACAGAAATCCCAAGACCTGTAACCTATAACAAGATGGAATTTATGATCAAATGAAAGAACAGAATTCCTCAGAAGGAAACAGTAAAAAATCTGGTAAGCAAAATTTTTAAGTAAAGAGTAAACTGAAAGATGGAAACTTCAGTAACCATATAAATTGAATATCCGTAGTGTTCTGCATCTGTTTATGGAAATGTAAATGCGCCACACACAATGCATTAAGGAGCTTTTACCACCAGTCTAAGTAGCTCAACCTAATACTAAGCAATAGAATTTTTCATACATCTACATAATTGTCAAGCGAAATGCTCGAAAAGTGGCCCTAATCCGCATTAACCTGTGGAGGAATGACAACACCATGCTCTCTTGGTACTCAACTTTCAGGGAAGGACACAAGATTGCACACGCTGAAATTCACGGACAAAAGTATTCTTCAATTGCAGAAGCGAACTTTTTATTTGACTGCTTTCTCTTTGCAGCCCTATTGCATTCCATTTATTGTTCTTTGGTTTCAGGATTGCTCCTTTAAGGACGGGCATTCTTTGTCCTATCAGTTTTCTTAAAAAATTAGTTTATTGTTTTGCATTATGAAAAAGAGCAGCATTGTGGTACTCTTCTTTACTACTCCAACTGCTCAAAACCAATGTTTTAAAGGGCAAGACGTTTTTAACCCCGTAAGGCAATGCATCTGCCTTTTCGAACATGTATTATTTTAATTAAAAACATACATAAATAATATAAAATAGTTCAATATAAGTACTAATTGTTATTAAGCATAAAAATCAATCCCAACACACAAGATATTCATTCAGTCAAATGATATTCGTTACAAAAACAAACAATGCACTTATTCATCTCACTTTATTAATTGAGTGGAACTTGGGAGGGGAAGAGGGGGTTGTGCAGTTGAAACCTTGGGGATTGACACGGATATTTAGGCTGTTAGTATTGAGTAGGTGGGACTTGAGATGAAAGAAGAGGTTGTGGCAAAAGAAACTTTAGCATTTCAAAAATTCGAATAATGAAAGGCTGTTTTTTAAGCCTTTAAAGTTTCACTTTGAACCAGCCTGAGCTAAGGCACTACAACGGCGCTTTGAATAAAAGAAATAGGGCACAAACACTCTTCTTCCTTGCCTCACTTACGCATCAGCTGCAATTTGCAGCACCTCAGCTGTGATTTGCAATGCATCTGACAGCGTCAGCGGTTTCACATAAGTTAAATGGTAAGTTAGCTAAACAAAATGCTCGCCTCAAGGCGCACCTAGGCAACGCTTTTTAAAACAGTGCTCAGAACATCAAAGAAACTGGCATTTTGCAGACTATTAGATAGTCTTAACAGATATGCCAATATATTTGCCCAACAGCGATTCGACTGATCGAAAGAGACCAACAGCACAACAGCATGAAGCATCAAGTAGCATTAAACGCAGCATAACATCAATAAATTTGTTCACAAAATGAGCATATCTCAAAATAACCTTTGATAGCTTGTATGTATTCTTGTCATTACTAAACTAATAAAAGATTTACCTTATCCTCAGTCTTAAGCAACCGTGTCCTTTTTATTCTCAATCGTACTGCCGCATAGAATCTCAAGGCATTTCCACCACAAGTAACCTCATCCATAGGTCCAAAATCTTGCCCTGCGCTTGGACTTGATCTAACCTGGATACCCAAAAATAAAATATTAGATAGTAAACATCATTTCTCCTTCTGCAGCTTAAAAGAAAGAATTTATAATAGACAATAAATAGGTAAAAATGTTCAAGTAGGGTGGCTATAACCTGATTAACAAAAACGATAAGAGTTCGAGAACGGGATAATGAAGAATGTATTTTTCGTAGTGCTTGGGTTATAATTCTTGACTGTGCATCTCGGTATGCACCATCAATTACAACATCTAGTTCACACTGGGGGACCAGGGCAGCTACCTGAAATATCAAAGTCCCAAACAATAATTGTTAGTTTCTTTATCCGTGAAATACTCTAAAATGATTAATAGTATCATCTACATCCATGACAACACAGCAGCATAAATTCATCCCATTAAAGAAAAGGAAGGGGCAAGTCCAATAATGAACTCTCTAATTTACATCCAACAGTCAACTCAATTAACTTATCTTTATATATCTCATTAGTTACAAGTCAAAGAGCATTTCAGTTCCTAGTTTGTCTAATCACACCACGGATATACCTTCTTTGATTGGTATTTAAAATACAACAATTTGACAATGTCACCTTTCCTGTTCATAACTTGATGATAGCATATCTTTGCCAAATGACAAAGGCTCCCTCAAACAGAGGGCTGAGCACCACTACCATGTATGTATAATATGTTTGTCTATATATCAGCATTTTTGGTGCAGTTACTGGTGTTTAAAAACAGGCAGATGTGTCTTTTCTTCATGGACAAAAAGTAAAGCAAAAGCTGGGCAGCTATGTTGGTAAGAGACATCCAAAATATCCAATCTCAACAAAGAGTAACATCAAAAGAAGCAAATTCTCCAATGAATAACACCACAAGCATATTTAGTTTTAATCACTTACACTATCAACCACAATTACATCCAAAGAACCACTTTTAGTCAGAGTGTCAACCACATTTAGCACATTCTCAGCTGAATTGGGATGTGAAAAAAGAAGGTTTTCTGTGTTTACACCCATAGATTCTGCAAGTGAAGGATCCATTGCATTCTCTATATCAAGATACGCACAATATCCTGGCCAAAAGGACAGTCTGGTTAAGCAATTATAATAATGAACTGAAAAGAGACGATAAAGAACAATATAATTATCAGAATTAAACAAATGGCTAGCAGGGGCATATGATATACCAGCCCCATACATCACAACCAAATAAATGAGAAATAGATCAAAACATAATGATTAGGTGAAAGTGATTATGCCTTCTATTGGTTTCATTTCTAGTTTCTAAAAGAGATGAACCACTAAGATTTTAACTGCCCTTAATATATATATGTGCTTTCCCCCTATGAGAAAACTAAAAGAAACATTTTCTATCTTACTTGTATGAGACTTCTCATGATAGGAAGGAAGATTAGAAAATACGAAAGCCCAGTTCACTTAACATAACATTTTACTAAATAATTTAATTTCACATGAGTGAAGGAGATGCAAGAAAATTGCACATATTTCATACTCAAAATATATAAATTATATAATAAAAAAATATACAAAACGATACACACACAGAGGAGACAGAGGCAAATGGAGAAAGAGAACTTAACATTGCATGGTTAGAGTAACATCTCTTCTTAGTAAGATATAGATATTACCAACTACATTGTTCCACTGAGTAGTTAGTAAGTTCTAAAAGTTCAAGTATGAGGGTCTATACCAGATCACATTATAACTCTCTGTACGTGCTTTGCTTTGAAGCAATTTTGGGTTAAATAGTCAATTTCATTAAGAGCAAATGGTCTCTGTCGAGGAAGGAGTCAAGAAGATGGCAGGCCTTATAGGTAAGTTGCATTCATTGTAACTTTTTTCTATAAAAAAAAATACCAAGCTCTGTTATATGGAACAAGTACCCCTATGAGTCACATATAGGGATTTGCTCCTACGAAGACAAATAGAAAGAAATGAACAAAAAACAGATACCATGAAGTCATTCAATATTTCTTACCAGGTGCTAGAACGAAATAAGTTTTCATGTAGGGATGGTTCAAATTTTCAATCTAGTAATACAGAGGAACATGCTGGTTGGAACATCCATTTGCAGATACAGGAATCTTTGAGGTTTTTCCATGATTTGAATGGTCATAAGACTTGGGACCCTAATGTTGTTAATATGGAAATTTCCAGGTCCGTAGGCCTGCCCTTGAGAGAGACGTTGTAACAGTTTGCTAGGAATTTTTTAGGATCTTGATTCCTTTACAAAAAGTTTCAGTGCCTCCACTGCTCTAACCCCGAAGAAACCTAGAGCTTCTCATTAAAGATTTCATACCAATAAGTTACACTCGCAGTGTGTGTGAAGGGATAGTTAAGATATTGGCAAATAGGTTGAGGTTAGTAGTGGGTGGAAGACCCGTACTCTATGTTGTTGCGGTTACTCAATAAGCATCACAGTAGCTCTATTTGGAAGGCTATCACTCACTGTATTATGTTGCATATATGGAGGGAAAATAGTGTGGTCCTAGAGAGTCCACCAAATAAAACTATATTACCCTCTCATCCCTAAATCAATGGATATCAGTTTTGTATTTCGTCTCATGTTCTACCATTCAGAAATTTCGGTTTTCTATAGATATATGCTCCAACTGTGTGTACCTTCATGTACTGGTGGCAATTCCCTTCTCTTCTATAAAACTTCATTTACTTACGCAATATTATACACACACAGAACAAAATTAAAGCATAAAATATTTAGTTTATGTACAGTGGATGATCACAGTTTTACAAAGATGAGCAAAATGGCATCTTCCGTGTTCCTTATCAAACTAAGTCAGTGAATATATTATTGTCTCAACTTCCTATACAAAGAATGAGACCACAAATTAAATACACACCTCCAAGCTTTTGAGCTTCCTTGATGATGTGAAGTGCAAGTGTGGTCTTCCCAGATGCTTCTTGCCCATAAATTTCAACGATTCTTCCCTGCAGAGGGCAATGTACATCTCAGACTAGAGTTCTAAAATTGACACTATTTCATCCATTTGCAGCTAAAAAAGAAAATCACATGAATTCAATGCACCTATATTTGAAATTCTTATTAACCTGTCTGTTTTCATCCTACAAGAGGCCTGTATCAAATCCTACCATCATCAAGCCATATGCGGAATTTCGGAATTTCCGGGTTAGATTGGGGTAAAGAGGTGGCTAAAATGAGTTTTAATGAAGAAGTAATAGGTACACAATTAACTACCTTTGGTAATCCTCCAATCCCAAGAGCTAAATCAAGCTTCAAGGAGCCAGTGGAGATGACCGGTGGACGTCTTGAGCAAAAAAACCGCTGCAAAGACAACATAGACTCTCTACCGAAATCGCCAGAAAGCCGTGAGAGAGCCAAACGCAGTGCATCATCTTTTTCTCTTGCTTTGGCATCATCATTATCATCACCATCCAGCAGACCATCACATTCAGCTGTGAAAAATAAAGCATCAAAATTTCTGCACATAACAAACTCTAAATTCCAACTGAAGCAATGTGAAAATTACCAACACAAGTTGTCGAATATCTTCTTCCTCTCTGGAGCAAAAACACCAAAACAATGAAAATAAATGTTAATTATTTTAAATTAAAAAGAATTTATTCTACTGTAGGTTTCTTGAAGAAAACAATCAGAGAGAGAGACCAACCAACCTGGTGGACGGAGCAGAGTAGAGAAGAGAGATGAGGTTGCTTGAAGAAAGCCAGACCAAGACGTTGTGCAAGTAGAGGACGGAAGAGCAACCCCATTTCCTGATGAGTAATTTCGTGAATAAATGTGGTCTGAGGGTTTAAGAAGGAAGAGAACCTTTTGAGGGTTTTAGGGTTTTTAAGTTCTGAAAGTGTGGCGCCATTTCGGCTCTCCGCTCTCAAGTCCGAACTTTCCCCGCTCTACACATATTGTGTGTCTATGGCCTCTAACTCTCTACAGTTGCTTCTTGTGGTTTTGGGCCTTCGCCGTTGCACCCGGTTTTCTCACCTTAGCCCATATTGTCATTGAAAGATTAAGTCATTGTGTATTTCTTTGTTAGGGTTTGGATGTAAGTTTGATTACGGTTTGGAGGTGAATATTTATAGGTAAACTCGAAGGTGGTTGATTTCAAACGGTGGGTAGATTTAAGAGATTTTCAATTTAAACCCCACACTTCTCTTTGTTCACCCTAAGTTCCCCCCAACTTTTAATTTAAATTTTCATAATTTCTAAGAAAACTCCACTATCTTCACAAACTACCTTGAAATACACCCCAAGCTGAAAAAAATAAGAAATACAAGAGTTTTTTTTATTTAAACCCCACACTTCTCTTTGTTCACCCCAATACTTAAATCATTAAACAATATTTGTAGTATACATGAGATTTTGTTGTTTTCACAAGGTTGTTTTTATCATGTGATAAAAAGGTTAACTAATCAAACAAAGATGTGTGTGGTAGGGTTCAAAACCTCAGACCACTGACATGCAAGTTAAGACCCTTTTATACAGGACTAGACTCCATTAGCAATAGAATGTAGAGGAGTTTGTATTTTTCTAAAACTTAATATGAAGAGTGGTGGGGGTGTGTGTGTATAGATAGATATACTAGGGTTAAATATTAAGTTGAATAACCTTTTTTTGACTTTTATACAATAATAAAACAAACAGTTTAATAATTTAAGTATTGTGGTAAACAAAGAGAAGTGCGGGGTTTAAATAGAATATCTCATATTTAATTTACTTTTATAGCATGTTTACTAATGAAAATCAAAATACGGAGTTGAATTCCGATTACGGATTACTCATATGTTTACTTGACATAAATAAATGAAAAAGTGAGCAAGCCCACACAAATTCAGGAATTCCACTCCTCATTTTGGAGGAGTTGGACTCTTAGGAAGAAATGTGGTATTCTAATTCCAGGAGACCTAGCCCATCAGGAATCCATCTTTTTTACCTATTATATCCTCACACAAATTTTAAATTTTCAAATTTATCATCCACTTTTTTTTAGGCGAAAAAGAGTTCAATTACCAAAAAAATACGACGTGGGCACGCAGGCCCAAAAAGATCGAAATAAAAGGAAGAGGAACACGCCAGGGGAAGACCATTCTCCCAAATCTTGGACAGCGAGAGACTATGACCCAAATTAGTAAGACCACCAGCTATAAAGTTTGCTTCCCTGTAAACATGTTCGCAAGATACATCATCACAAAGAGAACAAAGCAGGAGGATGTCCTGGATCAGAAGCTTGATACTCTAAGGGGGAAGCTGCCACCTGATTAACACAGTCAATGATAAGCTTCGAATCTCCCTCAAGCATAATTTTACACCAACTCTTATGAACCGCATAGGCCAAACCATCCCTAAGAGCCAGACATTCTACAACAGAAATGGAAGTTTGTCCAATTTTCTTGACACCAACAAGCATCACATGCCCATCCCAATTTCTAATTACAAACCCTGTAGTCGCAACCTTATTGCGAACTGAGCCGTCAAAGTTCAGCTTCATCCAACCAGTAGGAGGGGGCTCCCATTTAATGGAGGCAGGGAGTGATTGTTTTAAGTGGTGGTGAGAATTTTCCTTCGAGTAATTCACCCCAATATGACTTGCCACATTCAACCCTCTGGCAAGGTGAGGGGAAATATCTTAGCAAATCTTAAGGTTTCTAGCTTCCCAAATTTGCCAACAAAGAAGGAAAATTTAGAGAGGTTGTCAAGGCCTTGCTGCTAGAAAGTGTCAAGAGTATTTTTTTAGCCAATGTAACATATCCAAAGGTGGTGGAGAGTTTGCTGGAAGAAGGGTCGTGGTGTGCCAAACACTTAAGGCAAACGGGCATTCTAGGAAGAGGTGGTTAATGTTTTTAATCTGATTCAAGCACAAACGGCATTCAGGGTTAAGATGAGGGAGGAATTTGTAGAGATGGCTTCTAACTTGTAATATTTTACATATCAGCAACCAAGAAAAGAGTTTAACCTTAGGGGGCTAAGTAATCCCCCACATTTTCTTCAACAGGTAGCTTGGGGGTGGGATTTATTATCCTGCCCTTGAACATTGTAAGCACTTTTTATTGAAAATTTTTCATGGGGGTTAGGACACCAGACTAATTGATCATTCAAAGGGGAGAAGGGGATCAAGATTGTAAGAATTTTTTCAGTAATGTCTTCATCAAAAATTTCTTTCAACTTTTATTTGTTCCAAGATTGATTAATGATAAAATCGGAAACCAAAATATTAGTATCAATATCACCTCTTAGGGTAAAAGGAAGGTCAATAAGTGAGAAGGTTTTTTTCTTGAGAGCTAAGAAGGAATCCCTTCTAAGATATTTTTTAACAACAATTTGTGCCCACCAATTGGAGTTGTCAGTTAGATAGATCCAACCCAGCTTAGCTAGAGTAGCATGATTGAAAAGAGAAGGAGATCTCACACCAAGACCCCCCATGTCTTTAGGAAGGCAAGCATCCTTCCAAGACACAGGGGGAACCTTAGTGGAAGATGTCCAAAAAAAATCGTCATCAACTAATGTTCATTTCTTTATTACTAACTTCCTTAGGACATTTAAAGCAAGATAAGGTATGAGAGGGGCTTTCCAACCAGCAAACTTGCCTTAATTCTATCAATCAAAAGCATAGCATTGAGAGGGTCTTTCCAAAAAACAATATTATTGATGCCTAAATACCACCTTAAGGTAGCTTTATGCTGAATTTGAAGCAAAGTACTCAAATTAATTTGTTCTCACATTAGTAGGAAAATTCCTAGAAAATAGACAGTAGATTTATGCAGATTGATATGAAGTCCTCAGGCTTTGTAAAAGGAATCACATTATTTATATTTCTAATTGCCATAGGAGTGGCCTTAGCAAACATTAGGCAGTCATTCACAAAAACCAAATTGGCAATGTGGAAACCTCTAGGAGAGGAAAGCAGTCCTACATTAAACTTAGAAGAAAGAGCTAGACGATTGAACTGCCTTATAAAAGGTTCCATGCAAAGTATTAAAATATAATGACATAAAGGGTCCCTTTGTTGAATGCCTCTAGATGCGAAAAAAATGACCTTGAGGTGTACCATTCAAGATAAGAGAAAAAGAGGTACTAGTGATGCAATTCATGATTTTGTCACACCAGATGGGGTAAAAACCAAATTGAAGCAAACACTCCTTGATATAATTCCAATCAAGCACATCCTAAGCTTTTTCAAGGTCAAGTTTGTTCAAGAACATCATTAAACTCTTTAACTAACTCGGGTTCCAAATTACTAAGGAAACAATTTGGACCCATACACAAAGATTTTTGGATACCATCAATGCGAGCCAACAACCTATTCTTCCTCTGCCTCAGATGACCAAACACTTGAATATTCCATTGCTTTAGAGGAGCAATTAAAGCATAGGACTTATCTAGAGCAGATCCAATAACAGGCCCCTAAGAAGCATAAAAAACATCCTGAAATTTCTCATGTTGGAGCCTTGGAGCCATATAGCTTCAAACTTGAAAGGTCTGAAAAGGGGGGAAGAAATAAAACAAGAAGCCCACCAGATTTTAATGGGACTATGATATGATTTCGTCCTCAAGAGATGTCTCACAATTGCTTCAGCAAAAAACCTTCGCCAACTCAAATTACAAATAGCTCTGTCCAGCCTTTCAAAAACTTTTTTATTAGTCCAAGTGTATTTGGATCCATAAAAACCCAAATCCACCATATCATGGTTGTCAAACTAGGTTTTAAACCCTCTTAATTTGCATAAAGAAGCTCATCCTAACTTATCTTCAAACCTCAACATCTCATTAAAGTCACCAACAATTAACCAAGGCATATTATGATTAGCACCAACAAAGGAAAGATAGTCCCATAAGGGGTCGTTTGGTACGGCGGACTGTCATGGACAGGACTAAATCCTGGGACTGTCTTGGATTAGCTCGGATTGGCTTAAGCTGGATTAAGTACTAACCTACGTTTGGTGCTATGTCGGACTAAGAAACTGGATTGTAAAAATAGTGAAAACCTATGTTTGGTGCTGTGTCGGACTAAAAAAATAAATATTTAATTAAAAATTTTAACCTAAAAATAAATAATTAAAATTCTAATATTTATTTTTTTGTCAATTCATTATTTCATTAAACCACATACAACAAGGAAAGAACGGATTTAATTCTAATATTTAATTAGTGTTTTCCCTTGCGTTATCAAGTAAAGAGCAAGAGGACCCAGCAAGCAGCAGCATTCATTTTCTTCTTCTTTTCTCTCTCTCTCTCTCTCTCTCTTCTTTTTGATCTCATTTTCTTCTTTTATTTTCTTCCTCTTTCTTTCCTTCTTTCTTATCTCTGTTTATGGTTTAATTATTTCCAGCTTTTTCTTTTTGGAACTTCTGCGAATTGGAACTGCTTTTCTCTTCTTTGTTTTGGGGTTTCATTATTCTCTGTTTCTGGTTCTTCTCTTTTACCAATTCCCTACCTAAACCCTTTCTAATTCGTGTTTTTCTCTTGTGTACAAACAGAGATGGTGAAGAGAGATGGTTCTGGGTTTTGCGGCTGGCTGGGGGTGGCGAAAAGAGATGGTTCTTCGGGTGGCTTGGGCTTCTCGGTGCTGGGTCTGTGCCTGGCTTGCGGGTAGGGGTCATGAGGGAGAACAAATCCTGGGGAGAAGGGGGAGTGCTGGGCGTTGGGTTCTACCATAGAACGTCGATTGGGTCTGTGGTGGCTTGGTTTTGATTCAAGCCGTAAGGACATCCAGCCAGACTAGCGAGTTCTAAATAGCGATGGTGCTATTTTGCGAACCGCTTTTGGGGCTCACTCTATTAGACATGCGAGTCCGGTTATTTTTTCACTATTGGACTATATAGTCTCATTTAAGCTAATCCCCTCTCTTACCAAACATGGATTTTAAGTGTTATTTAATCCAGTCCAATCCAGTGAGGCATAGTGAGGCATACCAAACATGCCCTAATTTCTCTCA